TTATTAAACTGTTTTTATCTCAACCCATGAGATTTCTCACTTTTACCCTTCCAGTTCTCTTCCTCCCATCCTGCTGGTAGGGGGAATTAGAGAGCAGCTCTGTGGTGCTTGGTTGCCAGCTGAGGTTAAACCACAACAGCAAGTAATACTATTTCTTCTCTTTCTTCAATCTTATCTTAAAAAAGTTGTTTCTTACAGGCAGATATCTGGTCGTTAGGCATAACAGCCATAGAACTTGCAAAAGGAGAGCCACCTCATTCAGATTTACATCCAATGAAGGTTTTATTCCTCATTCCTAAGAACAATCCACCAACTCTGGAAGGAAACTTCAGTAAATCCCTCAAAGAATTTGTGGAGGCCTGTTTAAACAAGGACCCAAGCTTTGTGAGTTTCATCTGTTTGTTAATGTATAGTAGAGAATTTCAATGGTTTATGTGAATTACATGAATAAGTGCAGTTCAGCTTTTCTAATATAGTTTTTTTTTTTATACTATATATATTTAACATCTCATTTGTACCAAGACTAAAGTCTGGATTTCTTGATCGTTTTATAGTGAGTCACTTAACACTCTCAAATGCAGTGAAAATAGTAATTTTCTTTTCTAGAGACCAAGTGCAAAGGAGCTCCTAAAACACAAATTTATTATACGAAACTCAAAGAAAACTTCCTACCTGACTGACCTTATTGATAGGCACAAGAGGTGGAAGTCTGAACAAAGTCATGACGACTCCAGTTCTGATGACTCAGATAAGTAAGTTTGAGTTTGTAAAATATCCTGTGTAAATATAGGAGCCAAGTAGTTATTTTTAGCAGATATATTCCCATGTTTTATTGTTTACAGCTTTTCCGTTTGGGAGCCTTGGTAAACTAATGAAATCTTAATTTCAATATTGGAAGGGAATTCACACGAATAACAGCTGCTGAGAACGATTCTTCTGGCCCATTCTTTACTGTCTTCACTTTGTTGTGGGGCCTAGGCTCCTTCCTTGTCCTGGCCTGTATGAGGAACAGTGTGGCCAGCAGGAGCAGGGATGTGATTCTGCCCCTGTGCTCAGCCCTGGTGAGGCCTCCCCTCGAGCCCCGTGTGCAGGTCTGGGCCCCTCACTGCAAGAAAGACACTGAGGGGCTGGAGCGGGTCCAGACGAGAGCAACGAGGCTGGGGAAGGGACTGGAGTGAAAGTCCTGTGAGGAGAGGCTGAGGGAGCTGGGGGTGTTTAGCCTGGAGAAGAGGAGACTCAGGGGGGACCTGATCACTCTCTACAACTGCCTGAAGGGAGGGTGTAGTCAGGTGGGGGTCGGGCTCTTCTCCCGGGCAACCAGTGACAGGACAGCGGGCACGGCCTGAAACTGCATCAGAGGAGGTTTAGGTTGGATCTCAGGAAGCCCTTCCTCACGGAGAGGGTGCTCAGGCACTGGGATGCACTGCCCAGGGAAGTGGTGGAGTCACCGTCCCTGGAGGGGTTTAAGGAGAGGCTGGATGTGGCACTTAGTGCCGTGGTCTGGCCGATGTGGTGGTGTTGGGTCCTAGGCTGGACTTGCTGGTCTCAGAGGTCTTTTCCAGCCTTCTGTGATTCTATAAGGCCAACTGTTACTCCTGTTGTGTGAGCAGAAGGTAGCCCTCACCCTCCAGGGCCAGGTAGTGATGTACACGGGGACACCTAAGGAAGGGAGTTGTCTTCTTGGTGGCAGCTTATCCCCCATTTCGGTTACCTAATTAAAGAGGCAGAAGCAGATCCTTGCAGCTAAGAGAGGATTAGTGCTCAATGCCTCCCTGATAATGGGGTGTTGGGGTACAAGCCACATTGCCTAGTTTTTTTTATGAGAGTTGTTTTGTTTGTTTGTTTTTTTTTCTATCCTTCCAGGAGGTTTGGGCCATTACACCATGACACTCATGAAATGTTGAATTATTTATGGAAAAAAGCGTTGTAAATATTTACAGATCTCTTTCCATTTTTTTATTTCTCTACAACAAATTTTCATGGAACTGCTCAATAGGTTCCTGAGTTGGTGTCCTTACGACACCAGATATTTTTCTAGGCAAAAAACTTAGCTGTTTTTCTAGGCAAAAAAAGTAAATTAAGTCTTCTAAATTTTCCCCCCTTCCCTAATGAAAGCCAGTTTTCAGATAGCAATAAAACACTCCATAGTACTTCTTTATGTAACTTCAGAAAATGTGTTCAACGTGTAATGCCTCTCTTTCTTTTTGAAGTTAATATAACATTTGAGTTAATTTAACATCTTAGTTTCATTTTTGGGGTTTTTTTTTTGGTTTTTTATTTGTTGTTATCCAACAGATAAATCACACTACTTTTCATACTTGTCTTTATGCTTATTGGCTTGCACAGTAGAATTTGATTTTGATTATGACTAGTGTTTTTATGTTTAGCATGTATGTTGAGTGAGCATGGACAGTAAGGTGTAGAAAATACAACTTACTCTCTTTCTTCCCCTCCCTTGAAGTGAACCAGACGGCCAGGCCTCAGGTGGGAGTGATTCAGGAGAGTGGATCTTTACAGTAAGAGAAAAAGACCCCAAGAATCTAGAGAATGGAGCAGCCCAGCCTTTGGAGTTGCAAAGAAATAAGGTGCTCAAAATATGTTATACAAGGAGATAATACTTGCTTTAATTATTTTTATTTTATACCTTTTACAAGCATTTAAATTGTGAAACTTCCAGAACTTTTGCTAAAACTGTGTAGTCTACAGTTGCCTTTCACAAAAAGTTTTGAGTAAGTCTTGAAGTTTTGGTATTCTGTAAATGTGCCCTTTTTCCATACATCATCAAATACGTACCAAAATATTACCGTAGTTTATTAAATGTTACAAGTGGTGGAACACTGGGCAGTACTTTATTTTTAAGATCTTGCTTCTCTAAAGTTGACTTAAACCAGTGCAGTGTAAAGCTGGGCAGAGGCTTTGGGGAAGACATTCTGTATAGGAAAGAAGACTGCAGAGTAGCAAAAAACAGAATGTGAGTGTGTCTAAAAAAACCCACTTAAAAAAAAAACCATCAAAACACCAACCTAGAATAAGGGATGCTTAGGACCTGCTCCATTGTATTTTCTGCAGCCCATGTGGCTAGAGCAGGTGGTTGCTACCCTGGCCTTCAGAAAAATATTGTATCATGGGATGAACCTAGTGAATATCAGCATGTCTATGATTTAATACATACTCAGTAGAATTGTGGGAGTTTGTTGTTTAGTTTTGTTTCATTTTGCGCTTGCATGTATTTGTGGTGCTACAGCCTAAAATTCTAATTTAGCCTCCAGTTACAGCTAAATTCTTTTAGAAATAGATTTTTCGTAAAGGATAGCAAGTTGGAATTGTTTTTTTCTGTAATTAGAAACAGAATACAACATGTTTGGTTTTTTTTTTTCTGAAATAAAATTAGTCAATAAAATTGTTTTCTTTAAAGGAAAAGGATGTCCCAAAGAGGCCTTTGTCCCAGTGCCTGTCTACAGTTATATCCCCTTTATTTGCAGAGGTAAGTTACTGCTTTACAACTTAACAATTCCAGGATCCAAGTCTCTGAGAAATAGAAAAATAAGATAAGTAACACCTGAGGTTTCTACAACTCATTTGGAACTGGCTGTTTTAGCTGAACTCTTTGCGTTCATGAATGTCTGTTTTGAGATCTTTGTCTGGCTTCTAACAATACTTCATGTGCATGGTAGTGACATCAGCCATGCTAGCCTAAAGCAATGGAAACCAAAAAGGATTATTTTTTTTTTTGACACTGCTCTAGGTCTTTTTCTGTCGTTTTATCTGTTGCAAATTTCAAGTTCTTCGGTGTTCCAAGGTATGGCTGTCAACCACATGAGCAAGAACTGAATTTCTGAATTCCAGTGTCGAAAACTATTTTGTTTCCATTCTGAATTTTATAATTTTTATGTGTTTCTTCCAAATACCTAGAAACCGCTTTAAAAAAAGGCTCATGTGAAGGAAAGCCAGATATTTATGAAAACATAATTATTTGAAAAAGTTGATGGAACTCTAAGAAGCAAAGACTCCCCTCTCACCCTAGCTTTGATATGGAAAATTTTGTGGTTACATAATGATTTCAATCATTGCAACTGTTACGGAAATAAAGGTAGAGAAATTGTTCTAATGAAAGGGTGTTGTCTTAATTTTCCTCTGATGAATGAAGTCCTGCCTCAGAGGATTATCATCAAATTTTGCATGCTCCTCATTAAGCGTATCGAGTGCAGTAAAGCCATTAAATTCATTTAAGGGAGATGATCTCTGTATTGGTTATTCAGACTCCATTATTAAGTCAGCCTGTCATTCTCCTATGTAAAGTGGAGAAACACTTTAAAAGGGAATTTTTGGCATTTTCCATTGCAGTTCTTTGTATTACCTGCTTGCTGGCAGGTAATGATATGGGTCCTTCATCCACTGCCTTCCACACTTTGTCTTCCATTTTTATCCTTTCTTTATTTTTCATTTTCTCTCCACCATGGCCTTTATTACCCGTCTCCTGGATATCTCTGCTCTGGCTTCTTCCTTCCCATAGTATTGCTAACTAGTTGCTGTGTCATTCCTTGCCTGTCTCACTCCCGGTATTAATTTTCAAAGCCATTCTTTTAATTGCCACTTGCTGATCCCTGTGGGTATGTGATTCCCCCAGCACTGCTGTAGCAACACAGACGTTTTTCACTGCAGTCCTTACTAAAATCGCATTTGCTTTCATCTCTGTAGCATGTTGAGGCTCCAGAAAAATTTTTCCTCACATGCTTGTTTGCTGTATCTTTTCTTGCTGTGGGAGAAGACTCTTGGTCTGGTATCTGCTGTTTGGTTCATACTTTAGACTCCTCTTCCACACAACTTCTGGTGGATAGCCACAACTTGCCTAAACTGCTTCAGAAACTCGTTGCAGGGTTTCTTTTTATTTGTGGGCATGGCTACTGTCTCTGCTGTCTGTAGGAAGCCTTACGTTACATTTTCAGTGTTACATTTATTTAATGTTTAAAGCACAGATGCCTTTACCTGCAGGAATTATTGCTGGCTAAATTAGTGAGTTACTCCAAAAAAGTGAGTTACTTCCAAAAAAGAACAAAACTGGCCATCCAGAGCTTTTTGTCATCGTGGAAGCTTCAAAGCTTTTGGCACAGAACAGGTGTAAAAAACCAGCTGCTTTCCCTAAGTTATCTTCCAGGGTAAAATTGAGCTCTGCATCATGCTCCTTCAGTCAAACTCTGATAGGAGTTACAAGCCTTAACTCTGTTAGGAGCCTTGACTGAAGAGGCTTGCTCAGCGATGGGGTCTTGCTGCTCCCCGGTGCTGGTAATCATCTGAAGCTTGGTGAACTTCAGCAAAGCGGTTAAAAGAATAATCAAACAAAACAACTTTTCCCCCCTGCCAAACAACAGAAGACAAAATGCACCCTGAAAATGAACAAAGCTGTCATGCTTGTCAGTTATTTTCCATCAGTTTTCTTCAGTGACCAGCTCCCACCCCAGTGGGGTTTCTTTCTCCGTACCAGAGGACAGGGGCTGAGTACAGCATGCAGTGCTTCATTCTGGATTGCTTTTTGAAGGCAGGACAACCAAGTGTCCTTTGGTGCAACGTTCCCACTCTTGTCTGCTTCTGTCATCTTGCCCTCAAGCTGTGACTTCCTAGCTTAGCTAAGAAAGGGTTAGTTACTGGGGAAAGAAAAGGCATTTGTGTCTTACTGTTAGCTGTACTTTGTATGCAAGGTCTTGTTCTTGAGCATCCTGGATGTAATGAAAAAAGAACACAAGCAGCAGGCAAAGAAGAGTGCAGAACCCTTCCTACTGCTGTGCTTGTACCTCATCTGTTGTATATACACACTGTCCTCTGGATTTCCTTCCGTTGAGACCTGAGTGACTCTCCAAAGTCACTAAACATGGAACTAGAACAATTATTATTTCCTTTATTTTTCTGCTGCAAGACAGAGATTCCCTTTTAAAGAAAAATCCTTGATACTGAATGCAACTCTGGAACTGTAATTCCCGGTACCTGTTGAAAGTCCACTTCTGAAAGGCCACTTCAGTGTTTGGACATCTCTGAAGAGCTTCACTGCCACTTTGTTCCCTCTGGAGTATCTTGTACTAAACTAAACTCAAAATGATCTATTAATTCTGCTTTCTGGGGATCATGCTTGTTCCACGTGACAATCCCCTGTGCTATACTTAACTAAGGCCAAAAGTGCATGCGTGCCCACCCTATATCCCAGAAAGTGACACAGACTTTCCATTTGCTCAAGCTAAGCTTTCTTCGTTACTGACAGTAATGGCATAAAGGCAGACTGGCTATAGGTCCAGCATTCAGAGATGACTTAAATTAACTGAATAATTTGTGGAGAAATATGTAGAAAAATACCTTGCTGTTCTTCAATTCTGTGTAAACAACTCCAGCTCTTCAGTCCAAAGCACTTGTAAGCCCATTTAGCTTTTAACTGGAGTATATTTTTCACCAGTTGGTTTGGGGTTTTTGTGTGTTTGGTTTTTTTTGTTTTCTGGATAAATGAGTTTGATTCCATCTTTCTTAAGAGGATGCTGCAAAGCAGCTTTTGACAACAGCTGTAGTGATAAACAGGGAGAAAAACTTGTAAATGGAGACATCTGACATGCCGGGTAAAGTCCAGTCCTGGAAAGAAGGCCGTACCTTCTTTCCCCCTTACTAGTAGTAACATGATCCTTTCTTGTAAGGAACTCCAGACCCTGCTGAGGCTTTTTTGACTGTTATTGAGTTCTGAGAAAAAAAGCGTTTTACCAGCCATACGCAGTGTGTTATACCAGCTCCTACATAAGCAAAGTGCTGAGAACTTCCCTCTCAGGCATCAGTCCCTGCCTGATCATGGGATCTTTCCCTTCAGGCAGCAGAGGAGAGAGTGCTCTGGGTACTCTGTTGGTAGAGCCAATAGGGTAAAACCCCTTTCTAACAGCACTTGCACAAGTGCACTTGCAGTGTGTATGGATAAGCTATAGATGTACAAGTATGTGCACTAAAGTGAGTGTGTATAAGCAGCACATCTTGAAATGAGCTACAGGTAAATAGTGCATCTTTCTTGGGATACTTTGTTGTAATTTTTGAAAGTGAGCATGCTGACAAGAATATGTGAGCGACTGAAGACTTGTGAAGTTGGATGACATCCTGATAACTACTGGAAAGCTAACTTCAGGGTGAAAAAATATCTTCAGTATGTGAGGGTGTGTAATGAAAGTAAAATCCTGATATTCTGAACACTGGTGGTCACTTCCTAACAAGCTTTTGCATTATATTGTTTATAGAAACATCTATGAATATCTTTATTAATATATCTCTTCCTGGTTTTGGTGTTTTTTTTTTCAGTTGAAAGAGAAGAGCGAAGTGTGTAGCGGCAACACAGATTCCATAGAAGAATTGAGAAAGGCTATTTATTTAGCTGAAGAGGCTTGTCCGGGCATTGCAGATAACATGGTGTCACACCTTGTGCAGAGGCTTCAGAGGTAATAAAAGTATTTCACTAAGGGTTACAGAAAAATGCAGATCTGGCTCTGCATTTGGCTAATGTGAAACTGAAAGAATTAATTTCTATTTTAGAGGGAAAAGACACTTATGCTTACAGTTTATTTGTGTTTGCTTAGTTAGAAAAAAAAATAATTGTGTCAGCAGGTCTAATTTCTTCTAGCTTCAGGTAATAGCCCAAATGCATGTTCATCCTGCTGGTGCCCATAGTGTGAGCCAAAGGATGCTGGACAGCCTTTTTTTTTTGCATTTTGTTTAAGGGATATTCACACTTTCTTGGTGTCTGCGTGTATGTTGCAGAGGATGCCCTCTGTCGATTTTGATTTCTTTTACTCACTTTGAGAAATGGACTGTTCGGTTAGTTTATGTTTCTTTCAGTCATGCAGTAAGTGGTTCCTTGTTCATTCATTAAAGATAATCTGCATGGCCTTTTAGTGGTACTTTCAAAACCAACCTTTTGTATTTCTTCAAAAGGTCAAATTTTGTAAGAGAATATATTCTTAACAAATGCTCGATTTGCTCTTCTTTTAAATGCTACATAAGAAAAGATCAGGAGTATAAGTTTCAGAATTATTGCTTAAATGCACCCTTGAATCCAGGAGCCCACAGCTGTTGTGAATCTGCACCATCCAGGCTGGATTGAATGGTGGTAGAAAAAACACCTAGCAATGGTTAATCATGGACTGCTACCTTGAAAAAAATCACTCTGAGCAGGTGTCTTCCTTATATATGTCAACCACAGCTTGGTAAAGTTTCAGAATTCACACCTCTGATGTTAAAGCAGAGGATTGCCGGGCTGACACTTTGTCATTCAGTAAAAAACAGTGCCAAGAAATCTGCAAGCAGTCGTGTTTCTGGGTGTCTGGGCTCTTAAGCATGAAGCCCAGCTGGCATCTCTAGTGTTAAAAGGTCACACACCTTGATGCCAGATGTCCTGATTCTCCTTTCATTTGATCCTGGCACGCTTGAAAGAGTTTCTGGGTCTTACATCTCAGTTCTTTTCTGTTAGAGGTTCCAAAACTCACCCCAGTATTCCATGAGGCCTGTATTTCAGTATCAGTTTTCTATAAGCCTGGCACACGGTCTTCCTGGAACTGAGAACCTCAAACACTTTTGAATTGAAGCTGAAAATGACCACATGGAGACAGGCTTTCCACTGGACACCTTATCGCTCTCTACAACTACCTGAAAGGAGGTTGTAAAGATGTACGGATCAGTCTGTTCAACCAAGTAACAAGTGATAGGACAAGATGAAATGGCCTCAAGTTTCTCTAGGGGAGATTTAGATTGGATATTGGGAAGAATTTCTTTACTGAAAGGGTTATCAGGCATGGGAACAGGTTGTCCAGGGCAGAGACGGAGTCCCCATCCCTGGAGGTGTTTAGAAGTTGTGTAGATGGAGTACTTAGGGATATGGCTTAGTTGAGGACTTGGCAGTGCCACGCTAATGGTTGGGCTCTATGATCTTAAAGGTCTTTTCCAATGTAGGCAATTCTGTGATTCTGTAGTGTCCTATTACAGTGAAGGCAGGCACTTCATATTCTTTGAAGGACAGAAATAAATATTGATAAGGAATGTTTGTTGATGGGTCACATCTGGGTGAACTCTTTCTTATTCTAGGGATGATGTTCAGCTGGGATGTGATCATGGCTAGCTCTCATTCCAGAAAGTGAGTGAAAGAAATGGATGGCAGGTTCCCCCTCCCCTAAAAAGAAGTTTGAACCATTCCATAGCTTGGTAGATATCCCTTATGGATAAAGCTATTTCTAGAGCTAGTCAGCTTCTGAAAAGATAGTTCCTGCTTGTTGGAATATTGCAAGAAATAGGTTCATTAAGTCATGCATTGCATCCACTTACATCCTCAGAATTTGGTAGCTCACTACTGAAGATGACTCTTCAATAACATGTTTCTAATGAGATTTTCATTCCCCTTATGATTGGATTAAATTTGATTTCTCATGTTTGTCTGAATGAATTAGTTGGGACCCTCAGAAGAGCTGCCAAATAACTTCAAATAACTTTATTTACCTTCCCCCCACCAGTTTTGATCTGTGATATTTTATAAAGTCATCAACAACATAAAACAGAGTAAGTTTTAGTTGCTACGTATTACTTTCTGAAAGTCACAACATTTCTTTCTCTCTTCAGATACTCACTAGGTGGAGGAAGTACTTCATCCTACTGACGGGCTGTTCCCGCCTTCCCTAAGACAACAGAAATCCCGCGGTGTCCGCAGTGAAGGCGCGCATCCTGATGCCGTTGTTCTGCCCTTCAGTCACGGGAACATCCTTCGGTGGAAGGACATTCCTATATGTGCGAGAGTGAAAATGAAGCCTCTCAGAGGGAGGCAGTCTTTTTCAACTCCTTAAAGCTATAAATTTATTTTTTTTTTAATGATAATGCACATATTCCAGGGAGGTGTCTTTTTGTAAAATCTGAAATGTATATTTAGGTTTGTGACAGAGAAAACTGAAGATGTTGAGAAACCTCAGGTATCTTGCTTTAAGAATTCCACTGGGAGATGGAGTACGTCTGTTGGAATTGTGTACAGATATGTATATAACGTCATTTTTTTATCTGAAAGCCTTTCAACGTGCATAAGGAAACACTGTGTACAAAATGGTAAAGTGCTTTTGTAGATAATGTTAGTGGAGTAAATATTCGACAGGCCATAACTGAGTATCACCTTGCCTTTATTACATGTAAATTTTGAATTATGTGATAAGTGAATCTTGGTTTGATTTTTGTACGTGAAGGATTTGCCATTGAAAGAGTTAATCCTGTACTATGGAACCTTCTGTTTGTACCTCAGCAAAGACACAGTTTCATTCTGTTTCTCCGGTATTTCTTCCTTCTGTATTCTGAGTGTGACTTTTTGATTATGGTACTACTTCTAGTTGTTTTAAATTTAATACACCTTGCCTCACAAAGCTTTAAATTTAAATTACTGTTTTTCCTAAAGAATAAGCTCTTTCATATTTTCAGTTTCAATTGTGCCAATGCAAATTCTGAACCCTATGTATTGCTCAGTTTTAGTAATAGATATTTGTAGTGAAATTCAGATGGCATCTTTTTTTTTTTTTTTTCACCTGAACATGTTTGAATGCTCACACAAATAAATCTTTATTAACTTCATTTATCCTGAAATATCTCATTAAGATTTTGGCTGTGAGACAGTGGCAAGTATTTATTTCTTCACCATGCCTATTTTTTATCATTAGAATTAACGTCTTGCAGCATAGAAGAAAAATTATCCATCAGTTCAATATTCGGTCTTGCTGCCTGAAACTGTGCATCTCTTCACCGAGAGTGATGTCAGACAGAGATGGCAGAACGGAGTCTGAGCGTTGTGTGCTATGTCCTGTTACTTGGGTCTCCAAAAAAAAGGCACTACTTGAAAAATTCTGAATTTTGACATTTCCCCTGTTCCTATGAATGCTTCTTCATAGCGGACTTGGAAGTAGTAACATCACTTATACACACAGTTGATCAGGTGGCTTTTTATCTTTCTCTCTTCTTTTCCCCGCAATATTCCTCTGAGCTTTACCTTGGTTTGTTTCACCAAGGCTGCATTCAGGTGCTGCTTATTCTAGTGGCTAACAGCGCATTTTTGCCTTGTTTTAATGAAGAAATTGACGATTTTATGGTTTGGATGACAGCAAGGTAAATTACCTGTTTGTTTATTTTTTTAAATACAGATTTGAGTTTTGAAACAGAAAGCATTAAACTTTAAAAAGTATAGGCATATCTACTTGGCTTGGTACTTGGTTCTCTAACCATTCTGGAATCTGGTGAGGTCTTCTTGCAGGACTTTGTCTCACCATGGTAGCCCTTATTCTATGCATATTAACAGCCTTAATGATTAATTTAGTAGTTCAACAGTTAAGAGGCCACTGTCACGCTCACGGAGCTACGAAACCAGGTTGAAGCAACAGCTGAAAGAAACCAGTATATGTGCACTCATTCCTGGAGCCATATTAGACACCAGCATGTTTGCCAACATAGGGAGTCACAGGTTTCCTTCATGGCTAAGTGAATTTAAGGTAAATTGAACAATGCATAAGTGTGAGGACTGGTTTATGGCTCCTCTTTGATTAACACCTTTAAATACATGGCTTTGCGCGTGCTTACCCTTGAGGTAAGAGATTTAGCTCTGTGATCGTGAGACATGCAGCTGGATACAGTGCCACGGGAAATTCATCCATCAAACATTCAGCCATTCAGAAAATATGGTAATAAACAGTTTTGTTTGCATCTGAAATATAAATAGATTAATGGAAACTTTTCCCCAGTCATCTGTTACTGTAAGGACTTGAAAGCAACCTCACTTGGAGATGCACAGAACTCAGAGATTTAGTGGGGAAGTTCAATTTACGGTGCTGACTGGAACCTCAGGAATTTCTCCATCAGAAGACGAAATTCTAAGGTACTCTAGTCTCGAACGATCATTTAAAAAGTTATACATCCATTGGTGGGTTTTTTTGAGTTGCATTTTAGTTGTGTTCCAGGACTGTATGTTGATGAAGTAAGTCTCCGAGTAGATTGTGGCAGAATTTGCTTGGCAGATGTGTCCTTCGATTTAGGAGCTTAAGATAAGTAAGACCTACAGCAAGGGCAATTGGCCCAAATGCTAGGACATTTGGAAAAAGACAAGACCTCATGTATGGTAGAGATGTGTATTTTTATATGTAACATATAGATTATTTAAATATAAAGTATCTTAAACTGAGATTCACTGAAAAAGAAAAAGCGTGCTGCATCTTGAATGTAAAATTACAATCATTTGCTATTGACAAGTACTGATGCTTTAAAAATCAGATCTATATTGGTAAGAGAAGAGCAGCTTCATTTGAAAGAAGCACGGGCTGCGTTTCTGAAAGAAAAAGCGTATTGATATTTTTGAGAGGTTGTTTCATGCTAAAAACACGTCTGTGTTCTGATGTTGCACTGATGATTTTTGTGTGCAGGTAGTACTTCTTCACTCAGTCTTGAATATACTAAGTGACAAGCTATCCCTATTTATGCAAACATTTAAATTAGTGGAACTGCTTATTTGTCAGGGATTTCTAGATTAGGCAGTAAACGAACTCACTGTTTAAAGAAAAATAAAACCAGTCCTTTGAACTAGAGGCTTGCTTTTTGTAAGTATCAGACGTCTAATCTATTTTTTTAACTTATTTTTCCTTGCGGTTGCACTTTGTAGTTGATGACCGGTTTACTAAAAAGGATGGCGCCCCGATCGCTGTGGGCCAGGATGCTCTCGGTGTAGTAGCGAGGCACCACTTTGTCCGAAGCGCTGCAGTTCCTTTGCAGCTCCAAATGCTTTGTGTCCGTCTGTCCCTTGGGCACCGGACAGACGAAGCGTCTGGTTCTGCTCCCGCCATCCAGGGCAGCGTGGGCGGAGGGGGAAGGTAAGAGGGTGCGCGGCGGCGCTGAAGGGCAAAGCGGCTGCCGCGCGGGGAGCTCAGCTCCAACGTCATGCGCTGCAGCTCCTTCACCTGCCCGCGCTCCCACCGTACCCGGGAAATGTCTCATCCAGCTCTTCCTGCTTTCTGTGGCGATCCCTGTTCAGTTTTTTAACCAATGCAGCATTGGTTTGCAATGGTTTTACCTTAGCCTCACTTTTTTACGGAAACGTATGTTTTGCCTTCAACGATGTCACCACCGGAGGGTTATGAGACGTGCCAATGGCACAAGGGTCGGTACAATCGCAAATTATTTTTGTAAGTTGCTGGGGAGGAGCTTAAAGTGTAGCACAGATCACAGATCTGCGAGCTTGCTCTTTTTATCTGTATTTTGCCGATGTGCTGGTAATTGCACTGAGCACATGCAGTAGACAAATCGTATGTAATGGTTTTCGGCCTTCTTTGAAAGCACGATTACAGAGGACAACTCAAGTGTGTATCTTGTTTTCTGTAATACTGCTGCCTGTTTATAACCGTGTATTTAAATTTTACTTTTGTCACTCTGTACCAACTGAGTAATACTCCTTGTAAGCTACATGACCTAGAAATAAAGATGGAAAAGTTTAATGAAATTTTGCCCTCCGAGTGTTCAATAAGGCAAGATTTGGGGGGGGTGTGTGGGGGGGGGGGGTGTCTCCTCTCAAGCGGGGATGCTCCTGCAGGTACTGGCTCAATTATTGCCCATGTGTCAGTAATCGTAAGTTTATAAATCCTGTTCAGTTTGGCATCTTGGACTTTGTTCAAGAGAAAGCTCTTATTTAAACTCAACCAAAGCTTTCTGAGCAAGGATGTTGAAAATATTTTTCAGTTGGGGAACTTGGTAAACATATTTTCCCACATGGTTAGGCCATCTGTGAGAGTTTTGTTCTTGATTAAGTTTCTGTTTTTCATTTTTTGTTTTTTTTTTTTTCCAATCTACACATACAAGTGATTGACAGTGTACTGTTTTGGTGCAATTTCGTGCAGTTCTGTATTGCAGCTTGGCCAACTGTAAGACAATGTGCCAATTTACAGATGGTAACGATTTAAAAGCCCACTTTGAATTCCCCGTCCTGCCAGCCCAGTGGAGCTGACGGAGTGCTCGCATCGAGCCTCATTAACGTAACTTCAAACATCACATCCTTAATTACTCACATAACTGAGTGACAAACCCTGTGACAGCTGCACTCCTGTAATTGCATCTCATTATTACTTTCTCCTGTTAAAAAACATACATGTGCCACGTGGATTTTTTTTTTTATTTTTTTTTTACCTCCACAAACTTTTCTGTGCACCTGGGAAAGACGTTTCTGTGCAACTGGAGTTGTATTTCTACACAGCTATAATTATGCTACCTTTTGAGGCAGAATGAAAAATGGTCAAAATGTGGTTTTTCAGGTCCTGCTCATTTCCTTTGTTTTGTTCTTCGCTGGTGGAATGGCAAGATACGCACCTGGTTTTGTCTCTTAAAATAAGTTTTCCTTGTGAGAACTCTTTTTCTAGTCTGAGACCTTTATTAACATTACTGCACGGACAGCATGTTTTTCCCTACCTGCTAACTTGCCTTTCAGTCTTTTTTTTTTTTTTTTGATTTTGGCTGGTTTCAACTCAATTTACAATGGTACTGAGGTCTCAACAGTGTTTAAAATTTTATGAGAAGAGGTAGGCCTGAGGTATATTAACTTCCATTAAGATTTATTTATTAAGAAGTTAGCAGAGAAATGATACAAGTACTTTGTGGGGGGAAAAAAAAAAATATCTGTGGAGTCCAGGCTTTGCTGATCCCATGGCACAACTTCCGATTATGGCAATAAATTTTTTGTTTTGCTTTTATTTGTTCATTAACTGAAGCTGGCAATTGATTATTCATGGCAAGTAATAATAACAACAACAAGAGTAAATCTCTTGCAGTGAGCAGTCTGAAGTTTTCCCACTTAGGGCTACTAACCCAGTATGTGGTGACCCTGAGCATGTGATTAGTTGGACAACAGGATGGAACTCTGGGTTAGAAAATAAGTAGTTTTATACCATAGCTTTCTAGTAAACCACCAGTTTTGTTCATGCAGGTAATCTGAACCTGATTGTAAGATATAATGATCAAGACAGTTGCTTTTATTCTCTTACCATTATTTCAGTTTGGGTTAACCTTAGGAATAAAGAACTAAAAAAAAAAAAAAAAATGCTGAAAATGACAGCAGTTCAATCGTAAAAAAAAAAAAAAAAAGAAAAATCACACTAGTAAATAAGGAAAACAAAAATCTTATTTTAAACCTGTCTTCTGTACAAGAGGTAATACAAAAAGGTGAAAATGCTAAATAATGAATCAGGTGGATACTCTGAAGTTGTAGCCAAAGCGTAGCTCAGTCTCTGCTGTCATGGTAAATAGAACTGTATCTTGATCTTTGCCTTAGACATTACAGGAAAATTATTTTCTAAACCTACTTTGTATGAAAATGTAATGACCCTAGAAAGGGTGCTGTCTGATTTCAGGAATGTAAATAATAGCCTTTTGTTTGAGAGCTTGGGCTACACTACTGCGATGGATAGTGGAAATGGAGATTGTATCCAACAAGCCCCAGCAATCTAAAATAAAATTCAGTTTCAGCTGGGTTAAGGGCATTGCCTTTAACGTAATTTCCATTATAGAAAAAAGCCCCAACTTTTCACTGTTGTAGGTAACAATTGTAAAAGCCAGATGTAGGGACCCAGCTTGTAAGGCTTTGCAGGTATTATTTTGCAGCTCAGTAGCATTTTTGGGGGGGGAGGATTAACCTCCGCAGCCTTTCACTGTCCATAGCAACATCATGTGCTGTTGCCCTTCAGCTTTGTTTTCCTGATCTGTGGGCCGCTGCTGAGCTGTTGGTAAGTGATGGCATGTGAGGTGTTATTTTTTTTTTTCCACAGGCTGGGAATGGATAAGCCAGTGGGGACCTGCAACTGGGAAAAAGGGTCTTCAGCATTTTCTATCTGCTTTCGAAGTTTGTCCTTCTTCATGTCATCAACAGCCAGAGGCGATGCTGTGGGGCAGATGTTGGTTGACAGTCAGCTGAACGTGAGCCAGTAGGGTGTCCGGGTGGGCAAGGACAACAGCGTCCTGGTCTGTGTCAGAAATGGTGTGGCCAGCAGGACCAGGGAAGTGAACTCGGCACTGCTGTGGCCACACCTCAAGTATTGTGTTCAGTTCTGGGCTTCTCACTGCAAGAAAGACACTGATGTGCTGGAGTGGGTCCAGAAAAGAGCAACAAGGCTCGTGAAGGGTCTGGAACACAAGTCCTGTGAGGGGTAAGGAACTGGGGTTGTTTAGCCTGGAGAAACGGTGGCTGAGGGGAGACATAATCGCTCTCTGCAACTACCTGAATGGGGGTTGGAGAGAGGAGGGAGGGGATGTCAGCATCTTCTCCCTAGGAGCAAGTGATAGGACTAGAGCAAATGGCTGCAAGTTGTGCCAGGGGAGGTTCAGGCTGGATATTAGGAAGAAGTTCTTCAACGGAAGGGTCATTGGGCACTGGAACAGGCTGCCCAGGGCAGTGGTTGAATCACCATCCCTGGAGGTATTTAAGAAACATGTTGATCTGGTGCTTAGGGACACGATTTAGTGGCCAGCTTAATGGTTAGACTCAATTTTAATGGTCTCCCAACCAAAGAGATCTTGTGACTATATGTCACAGGGAAAATGACTAAGGAAAAGAGCAACTGCAACGAGTTACCTTCCCGGGAGGGGGGTGAGTGAGGGAAGGTGGATTGAAGGTTTCCACCCCGATGGAGGCAGTTTACTGAAATACTTGTTCCTCTTTGCCGAGGTGGCTCAGATTTGGGCACAGGAACTGGGGCTTCTTCATAAAGGGTTAGCACATATCTCTGGTGGGAGCAGATAGAAAGCAAGCTTTACTGTCGTGAAACAGGAATATCTATTACAGCATTGTGAGGTATTTTATTCCCTTTTGTTGTGAGCAAAGCCGTAAGCCATTCTACACATCGTGCACAGGTAAGCCATTAACAAAGTGAAGAGCTAGATGAAGCAAAAGCGAGGGTAGAAGTGTCCTGGCTTCATGTTCCGAATTTATGTTCACGCCCCATCTGCCCAGCACTGCATTTCCTGCAAGGCCTGTAACGATGACAGGTGGGCTTCCAGCACGTTGAGCTTCCACTAACAGAAGTTTTACATCACCCTCATGATCCAGTGTTTCTTAAATCCTAAGGAACAGCATCTAAGCATAATTGACTTAATGCTACCAACCTTTTGAGTGGGCCAATGGCTTAACCCATTAGTCTTAGCTAACTCTAAAGGCAGGTAGACCAAATGGGTGTTCCTCTTCCAACCAAGAGAAAGAGACCGAAATTCCAACATCAAACCAAAAGTCAGGCCAGGATACGAAGCAGGGAGGATGAAAACTTGGGGCTTCAGCA